CTACTTTAAAACATATAAAACTTGTTCTTTGTATGAAAGTAGCAAAACAAGCTCGTGTTGATAAACAAAGTCTGAGGCTCTCCACTCCTTCAAAATTATAAATCCCGTTTCGCGGCGGTTACTCCAAATTTTTTGCTCAAAATTCTTCTTGTATGCTTCTATCTTTGTGATTGTAAAACTAGCCCGGTCAAAAACGTAGCCAAGGCAAAAAAAACAAACACGAAAAACTACCATCTGTAATGCAAATCTATACAAAAGTGGGGCCCCAGAACCGGGTGGCGACCGGTGACTTTCGGCTTCATTTTTGTATACTATAGATGCGTTATCCAGTCCTACTGATTTCAGATCAGTGGAGCATGCACGCAGATGGCCGCAGACCAAAGATAACGAGAGCTCGCATCTAGCAATTAAGTTCGACTTAATTAAGTTTGAATCAATGTCGAATTTTGCTAAACTTTGCCGAACTTAATACGAATTAGGTTCGGCACATGATCAGCACGACGTTTGAAACAGGCCAAAGATTAACAAAGTACGTATAAAATGCAGAACTGATATATATATATATATATATATATATATATATATATATATATATATATATATATATATATATATCAGTTCTGCATTTTATACGTACTTTGTTAATCTTTGGCCTGTTTCAAACGTCGTGCTGATCATGTGCCGAACCTAATTCGTAGAAACTAGAACTAGATAAAGATAATACGAATTTAAAGGAAAGATGTAAAGAACATTGTCAATTTGCTTCACTAGCCATAATAAAGGACGTCATGACAGCCGTAAAAGATAAGATTAAGTCATATCAGAAAGATCTAGAGACCGAAAGGAGAAAGTTGTTTGAAGACCTCAACAATTCCGTGGCCGAAAGAATATGGCGGAGAACTAAAAGAGAAATGCAAAGCTATGATAGCGAACTTGTTCAGAAAGAAGCACATAAGCTAAGCAAAGCTATATCGATTAACCACAGAGAGACAGAAACACCAAGATTGAAACAAAAGGGACGAAATAGACGTTTTCGGCGCAGTATGAGAACAAACAGACCGAAGAGAACTGAAGCAATCGAACAATCCGCTCAAGCCCTGACTTTACCCGAGTTGCCGACATTAGAAGCAATAAACTTAACAGCGACTATTTTAACTGAGAGCGAGAAAGACATCTTAGCTAAAGGTCCGTCCTTCTGCTCAATGCCAAAGGATATAAACTGGATGCAGTTACATGATGATCTCGAACGATTTGAACGAAGAATAAGGTTGGCAGTATATTACCATCAGAAGAACAACCCTGAGAATGAATCCAACAAAAGCGAAAACCTAATATTCCCTTTGGTACCATCTACTAAGAAATGGACTCCACCCAAATCGAACAATCCAGAAATCGAATTATTCCTGACCAACGTTAGAAAAGAAGTCCTGAACCCTGGGAATATTAGAAAAGCGAGAGACAATTTAACTAAAGAAGAAAGGGTAGCTATTAAAAATTTAAAATGCAACTCTAACAATATCATTAGGATTCAAGATAAGGGTTCTAGGTTTGTGCTAATTGATAAAGAAGAGTATAATGGGAAAATGTTAGAGCAATTAAGTAATCCACTCCACTATTTAAGTACTTCAGATAATCGTACCAAATTACATTTAGATAGAGTTAAAGAGTGGAGTGATAAATGGCTAGTTCAGCAGCAAATTACAGATAAGATAGCTAACTGGGTTGTTAATTTGGAACCCAAAGCTGGAGTAGCATTTGGGAATGTTAAAACACATAAAAACAACAACCCTCTTAGACTTATCACATCTTGCTGCGGGACTGCCATAGAAAGGCTCTCGGCATTTACAGAATTCTACCTTAAACCATTAGCCCAGAAACTACCTGCTTTTATTAAGGACACGACGCATTTAATCAATGAAATAGATAAGCTAAATAAGAAGGGTCATTTGCCACCTGACACGTTATTAGTATCATGGGATGTCGTAGCCATGTTCCCGAACATCGATAATAATTTAGGTTTAACTGCAGTCAAGAAAGCGTTAGATTTGAGAGAAAATAAATTTCCCTCGACTGAATGTATTGTTGAAGCAGTTGAAATTTGCTTAGCATGTAATAACTGCCAGTTTGGGGAAATGAATTTTCTACAGAAACATGGTACAGCTATGGGTCCTAAGAATGCATGTAGTTATGCGGATATAGCTATGGGGGAAATAGATAGATTAGCCAAAACTAGTGGAAATATAAAGCCAGAGCTTTGGTGGCGCTACAGAGATGATATTATAGATGTCTGGAAGCAAGGTTTGCCCAAGCTTCTAGAATTTACTGATTTTATCAACTCTCTGTATCCTACCATT